CTCATATCAAAGGGATAACAAAAGGAAGTTGTTTCAATTTTAAATGCCTTGAAATAAAGCAGTCTATTTGCATTGCATAATTTGTTTACACAGATGAAAGCATGGAAAAGATGTTAGAAGAGTCTGCAATGGGAATTTGGGATTTTTTTCCTGAATTCTGCGTTAACCAAGTAAATTCAACAGAGTGAACATTTTAACATTTAAACCAGCTGGCTAATTATAGTTATGCGCTAGACCTTGTCTCCTATATCTACAATTTATTTCGTTATTTTGAATTTATAAGCCATCCAACTTTCTTAATTATTTTTCAGATCAATACAGATCACTGATTTGGGATGGAACAACCCATAAAGACAATTTACAAAGCTGCAACTGATACAGAAAACTGCTGCCCACAAATGTAACATTACTGGTGAGGTGTAGGATGACAATAGGGAAATCCAGCTTCTACTCCATCCTCAGCAATGGAAATTCACTGAGGGCCTAAGGGCTAGTCATTCTCTCTTAGGAGATTGTCTATCTTGAGTATCCTATATAAGTATTCCTTGAGATATGACCATAATGGAGCCTGCCCATTATGGTCATGTTGTGGAGGCCATTAGGCAAGACAGCCTCATTTAACAACTCCTGCCTCCTGCAGTCCCTGATGTGGTCATTAAATAAACATCAGCATTAAATGGAGCAGGGAATGTATCAGAGGTGGGGGAGGTCCTTGAAGGCCTAATATAGACCAGGTCCGCCAGTCCTGGGCCTCCCAACCCCCCCCCCCCCAAGTCATCCTGTTTTCTACTTCGTGCCCCTTTATCTAAATTAACTTGCCTACAGAAGAGAATATCTATAGCTCAGGAACTATGGAGTTCTTGTGTTCTCTTGGTTGTTTACTTGCAGGCATTTCATTACCCAATTAGGCAACATCATCAGTGAAAGTCAATACATTCACACAGATGATGTTACCTAGCTGGGTAATGAAATGTCTGCAAGCAAACAACCAAGCACCAAGAACTGCAGAGAATTAGTATCATAGGCACAAAGGCTTTTTTATTATTCCTATCTATGGAACTTATTATGCCTACTTTCTTCAGTTCCTGGAAGCAAGCCAAAATATAAACCTAGCAAATAAATAAATTGGAGTGATCATCTCCCATTATAGTTATTCAGCTTTATAAATTACTGTATGTATGTATGTATGTATGTATGTATGTATGTATGTACAATTCTTTTCCAGGGATAGTTTTATGTCTAACATACTGTAATTACCTTGCAGCTTTACAATTTTATTCTACACTAATTTTGATTATGGAAACTAGAGTACGGCAAATGACAACAATAAAGGCTAAAACCTAGGTCTCATTTTATGTCTATTATACTGCAAGTTATATAAAAACAATCTTCTCTTTCAGCATTCATCTACTGCCATCCAGTGGAAGTTTGTTGGGAAAAAAAATCCTACAAGTTTTTTTCCATTTAAACAAAATTGCTATTTTTAACAGGATTGTTCCCAAAATCTAGGGGGGGGGGAGGATTACACAGCAGAAAAGAGGTATGCTACCCAGGGCTGAGTTGTTACTGTTATTTTTTTAAATTCTGGAAGATATAGAGAAGATATAGTCACTGCAGAACATACATCAGAGCCTTCAGTGTATATAGGCCAAGATTTCAAAGTTTGTAAGTTTTAGACTTTTTTCCTCTACCTTGCTATCTTAGCAGATACTTAGATAATCTCTTGGTAGCATTGGGAAAACCTGGTCTGTGTTAATGTAACAGTTCTCTCTATTCTGAGAATTGATGTTTCCTACATCATCTGCATTCCTTACAATTATTACATCTCAGGAATGTTACCTCCTAGGACTAATATTCTAACTTCAAAGTCTTCCTTCATTGTAAGAATTGGATTCCAACATGGATATTCAGGTACTGCATATACCCAATTAAATCTCCAAAGAGCACAAATCAGTAATAGGGGGGGGGGGCTATTCCCCCACCTTTTTTTTTTTTTGCTCAGCCTCAGGTGATGTGCCAGTTATCATTTATGATTAAAATTCCCTGGCAATGTCAACTTATGACATGGTTGCACGACAGCAATACTGTACATTTATCCTTTGGAGGCAACCTAGAATCTAATGCTGGTAAACAATGCAGCAGTTAGCTCCTAACAAGTCACCTTTATCAAAGAAGAAAGCTTCTTCAGAAGTGACTGCAAAAACCTCTGGGCTTAATTTAAAGTTCTGGTTTCCCTTGAAAGCCTTTTGCAATGTAGCACTATTAGGTAACACCTTGCCAAAGTCAAATCTGTCCTTTTGGTCTAGTTATTTAAAGAGAACCTGCTGATAATTCCTTTTTTGTGAGGTGTATCAGGCTTAGATTAGGCAAAAGGCCTTCTAACGGGGTCTGCCATTCTGGAATATGCTCCAATCCAAGCTAAGGTTGTCCCTTAATATATAATCTGGTTTGTGTTTGTTTGTTTCAAAAGCATACAAAAGCAGCAGTCTTGTAGTCAGGTTACGTGAATGGTACCTCTGATGTGTTAGTGGTTTTAATAGCTTTTTAAAATTTTCTTGTGACATAAGATCTTAAGATTGGAATAAGCTATAAATATTATAAATTGCTTATATTATTTAATTAATATTACCTGGTATATGTTGTCATAAAAATATTCCAATAAAAGAAACAGGAAACAACAATACAAAAATAATTCTTACTTTAAGATTCAGAGGTTTATTTCATGAGCAATTTGGAACATGAACAGCCATCATAACACAACTTATATCAATAACCCATTGCAATGAAGTCCACTGACATAGCTAGGTATAGCTGCGGCTAGTGGCCACAATCTGAGACACATCTCCTTCTTTTATACCTTTCTTCTGACAGTCCTTCAATAAATGGAATTTTACTGGAGTTACAGTACTTCCTTGTTCTTTCATACTGACAGTCTCCACATATACTCGGGTACATCTCAAACCTCTATCCTCCGACTACTTTCAGTTCCTTATTTCTCAGTTTTCAAAACTATATACTTTGCAAAATCACATTTAACAGCAACAGCTCAGCCGGATTACAAAGATTTTGTTATCCTTAGGAACTCATTCTAACTGACACTTTAATATATAGTATTTTATTTCAGGCCTGCTATCATTCTGAGGCCTATATAAGTTTGGCAGATTCAAAGCCCAGTTTTCCTTTTCTCACAATGTCAAACAAGAACTCAGCATAGTGAACTAAAGCTATCTTTCAGTGCATAGGAATAGTTTCCACATGTACATATTCACCACCTGATAATTGCCTCTATCTAACAATAGATAGGAAGATTTTATTTTCAGTGAGGGGTTCTTTACAGGTAGCCCTCAGTTAATGCTGTCCCTTGGGACTGGCATTTCTATTACAAAGCAATGCAATCATAAAGCTCAACTTCACTTAGCAACAGCAGTCCTGGTTGCTTTCATTAACTGAATCCCACCCAGTTGTTAGGTGAGGACATACTCCAAGCCAAAGCATTTCCAGCTTGCTCTCTCCCAGTCCTGAGTTTCAGTAAAGGATACAGGACTGTCCCCGCGTCATCCACCTGCCTTCCCTTCCATCTCTGTCCTTTTGGTCACTTTGCCACTCCCAATTGATCTCCAGTCTTCTTCCTCCAATGCTTCTTCCCATGTTGTCCAAATTGAGAGTGGCCTTCTTGACACTTTGAAACTTCACAAGAAAGCCTAGTCAAGCACCTGAATTTTTAATGCACGATCATGAGGGCACTGCAATGGCCATAACTTCAAGGACCTGGCCTAACTACCATACATTCAGTGCAACCATAACTCCTAATGATCACTGAACATAGTTGTTAACTGAGGACTACCTATATTTACATTATTACATGTGATGAACTCATATTAGCTATGACAAGCTAAACAAATTTTCTTAAATCAGGATTCACACAGCACACTAATGTAAAATTAAACCACTTCATGATTTAATGCAATATATAAAATTATTATCTTTGCTACAAAAAATAATGGAAGAAAACATTTACTGAATGAAAATGCCCCTGCTATATTGGATGCATAAGCTTCCTTGTCTATGTCCAGGAGACAGTTTTACTTGTGATTTACACTAATATTTTGCAGTTATAAGGCTGCATCTTTGTGATTCTGTGCATAAATCTCCATGATCGATATAGTTAGGAAACACTTGGCTTAAGGTGAGCCAAAGGTAAAAACACCTATTCCAGGGACTGTAGAGATTCTCAGTCATCCAGGTCATGGTTGCCCCAAATGCGCTTTTTCAGGAGGCAACTGGACTTAGTTTTTTTTTTTTTGAAGATGTTTCACTTCTCATCCAAGAATTCAGCTCTGACAGGATAGTGGGAATGGCAGGGTTTATATTCCTTGTAGACAGCTGGTCATTTGCATCCTTTCAGAGGGTTGTTGAAGAACTTGGAGGTTTATCTCTGTGCACAGGGTCACCTGAGTAGTGCTCCGGGAGTAAACTACAAGAACTAGGAGACCCTGAGGACACAGATAAACCTCCAAGTGCTTCAACGACCCTCTAAAAGGATACAAATGACCTGCTGTCTGCAAAGAATATACATTCTTCCATTCCCCACTATTCTGTCAGAGCTGAAGAAGCTCCTTCGATGAGAAGCGAAATGTCTTCAAAGAAAAACAAGGAAGTCCCGTTGCCTCCTGAAAAAGCACCTTTGGGACAACCTATTCCAGGGAGTTCGTGCTTGCAAGAATTCTTCGGCATCCCGCCATAGGCCATTTCCCAGATTTAAAGATAGCAGAAACTCAACCGATGAGGCTTCCTCCCCCTCGGAAAATGCAATGCAAGATTATCCTGTTCCTCTCTAAGGTTATTCCCTTGCTGAGTCGTGCTATCCAAAGTGTTACGGCTCAGATCTATAAGGCGACTCCAAGGGACGAGAACCCAGCCGCTTGTTTTCGCTGCCGGTAGGCAGAAACGGAAGGGGAAAGCGCCGCGTTAGAGGACCAGAAAGGAAGCTCAGCCAATACCTGCGCAGACAACGTTCGCACACGCCTCCGAGGCGCTTCTTGCTGACGATGTAAGCGAAGGGCGCCGCGCGGTACAGCAACTGACCCGGTTTCACCGCTTTCAAGAGGCGCAAGCCGTTGCCTTTGCCCGGGCTTGCAAATTTTTCCATTGCCGCTCCGCAGAGCAGGAAACGAACGGAAAGGCTGGCAGACCAGCACGCTTCCCGCCTCGATCCCCACGTGACGCCGCTCTGCCTGCCACCGGAATCATCTTTCCTTCGAGCAAAAAAAAAAAAAAGAGCCCGCCTTCGTCACGTTCCCCGGTGCAACCTTTCCTCACCCCGTTATTAAAAACGCAGAAAAGGGTTGTTATAAATAGTATTTAAATAGTAGCATGTGGAGCATACAGGACTGCGGATGTCAAACTCTTAAGGAGGACATGTTTATGTATGAAGTGTTCTGTGTTCTTTGAAATTAATGGGGATAATAGTTATTTGGCCTTAACAATTTCAATTTTGTCTCTTGCTTTTATTTATTTATTTATTTATTTATTTATTTGATTTGCCAATTGTTTACAAGATAATAAGTATAAGTGTATACATAGTTGTGAATACATGAAATGGGTACATATAAGAAAAATAAAAGAATAAGAGAAACAATAGGACAGGGACGGTAGGCACGATGGTGCGCTTATGCACGCCCCCTACAGACCTCTTAGGAAAGGGGTGAGGTCAATAGTAGACAGTCTAAGGTTAAAGTTTTTGGGGTTTGGGGAAGAAACTACAGAGTCGGGTAGAGTATTCCAGACATTGACCACTCTATTGCTGAAGTCGTATTTCCTGCAACGTGTTTACTTTTCAAACAAGCAAACAAAAAACTCTTAATTCCACTCCGATAGCAAATAATACAACGCATATCTCCCTGAAGTGGTAGGAAGCCTAAATTAAGATTGTTAGATTAAAAACTCCCAAGTATTAATATAAATCTCTATAGGTTTTGAGATAGCCAGTTCAGTGAAGTGATAAGTATTAGGCTAGAAACTGGGAGAACATAAATTCAGCCAGCATGTTGACCTTGGGCCAGTCATCCATTCTCAGCCCTAGGAAGCAGACAGTGGCAAACCATTTTTTAAATTTTGTCAAGAAAGGTGTAGGGATTTGGTCAGGCAATTGTTAGGAGTCAACATTGACTCAAAAGGATTTTTAAAAAAACACCTTTTTGATACAAATGTACTGCTAATGCCTAGAAAGAAATTATTGTTCTTGTATACTTACTAAAACTATTTTTTTAGAATTATCTTTAAGATCACTATAATTGGAAAAATTCAACCCTAATCATAACCTTAACCTTGGTCTGATTCCAACCCTAAGTATGATTTCAATTGTATCTGTCATGTAGTCTGCTTGGGTAGCTTGTGAAAACTGTTCATCACCCTCATCAATGGCTCAAATTGTAAAACTGGATAAACAATCCTTGCCCCCAATAGGTTTCATGGAAGCCACCCCCCCCCCAAAAGGTCAAGATGGTGACTAGCACATGACTATAGTTCCCTCTTGTTTTGCATGTGAAGAATGGAAAAGGGGTGAAGTTTCAATCATCATGGTGTCATCTTTTTTTAACCTCTCATGTCACTAGTCAATTTCGACTGAATTCATTCTCATTATTTGTGTTCGCTATTGTGAAAAGCAATGGATTCTCTGTGTATACTTTTTTTCCTTTTATCAATTCTTGCCTTGCAGATTAACATCAGGGGTCATTGGCTGCTTATAATTGATTAGGACTTTGTCTTAACCTTTTTGCCTACTTTGTGTGCTTAGTCATAAAAGAAAAGAATGAAGAAATGTTTCATCAATAAGGAATAACAAGTTAAAATATTTTATTAAAAATGAAAACATTCACAATCAAATTATGAAGTTCTCGAAAAGGAGATCTCCACTGTAAAATGTTCTCTTCAAATGAAAGTATTAAAATAGCAATTCAGAATAAGCAAGGAGAAATGAAACATTGGAACTAAATGTACATAAGAGTTTGGATTATAAGCAATAACAAAACCCAGTTACCTTTTTGTTTTAGTTAATATTTGCCTTATTTGCATCTGTCCTGAAAAAAATCCATATTTTAATTATTTTTAATTGCTTAAGTTTTATGGAAACTAACAAAAGAGCCAAAGAAATAGGAGGCATCAAAATAGGTTTTAGAATCATCTAAATGACTCAAGTAGTTACCAGCATTTTCTTTAAGTCAGAGCTAAAGAAACCTAAGAATCTTAATGTCTGCATGTCTCTCAAACACTCACTCTGATGCTTCCTGGAAATAACATTGGTTTTCTCCCAAACATACAAATAAATCCCAATTAGAATTAAGGAGAAAAAGAATTTTCTCCCAGAACCAGGAAAATACAGAAATCCCATCAATTATGTACTTTTACCTACTTCAGCCTGTACTTTCTCAAAAGCACAAACTGTAGCTAGCAAATGTGGCCATCTCTAAATAAAATATTAATGGTATTCATAGATAAACTTGATAGTATGGTCTTATTCATAAGTAATTGTAAGCTAGAATTACAGTAGCAGTTTAATATACTAAACCAAAAAGGATCTTGAAGCTGGGACTTTGTTCTCAACTTTATTTTCTTCATTTATTTATCGAAGTTTATATTGCTGTGGTATGGGGAAACAGACTGATCATGACAAATCAACCAAATTGTCTTTTTTGATAACAATGACAATTTAACTAGAAGCAGACAGTGGACAGTTTAACTTGTATTCAACAAAGTCTCCCAATAAAATGCTAGAAGAGAGCATGGCAAAATATGAACCAGACTACTGGTATTGTATCATTGGATGAATATTGAGTTGGAAAGAAGAACTGAGTGGTTACACAAGAGCTCCATTCTAGGCTTTGTACCCCTGACCATATAACTTGAATGAAAGGTTAGAAAATAGAATCAATTTGTAGATGACACAAAAAAGGGAAAATAAACAGAGGACGATATCAAGCTTAAGGAGATAGCAACTTATCAAACTGGAATAAATGAGTAGAAACCAGCAAGATAAATTTCAATAGTGACAAATGCCAAGTCTTATATTTGAGTAGGAAAAAATAAAATATACCTGGCAGCACTACATGCAAAAAAGAATCTGGGTGTTTCGATTAAAGATTAGATGCTGAATATAGGCAATAGCATATAACTGCAAAAAAATGCAATCCTAGACTCTACCAAGAGAAGTCATTGCTTTTCTCTATTTTCCATTGATTTTGATCTGGAATTCTGCATCCAGTTCTAGGCACATTTTAGAAAGGATAGTGATAAATGTGTGTCCAAGGAATAGCAAGGAAGGTAAGGGGACCAAGGAGGAGACATTTATGAGGAACAACTGGAAGTTGCTTAGTCTGGAGAAGATTGCAAACATCTATCAAGTACAGGTAGTCCTCAATTCACTACAACAATAATTGGGACTGGAATTCCTTTAGTAGATGATAAAGCACATTTACTAAGTCGCAAAGCACAACTGCATCACTTAGCAATGGCAATCCCTGTAGTCCTGGTTGTCATTAATTAAATCCCAAGTATTAGATGAAGCAATTTCTTCACAAAGGTTCCAGGTAGGAGGGAGTGTGCATGGTAGTGCCGGGGAGGGTCAAGGAGAGTGCAAGAGGCACAGCATGAGGGTGGATCAGGAAGAGTGCAAGAGAGATTATGTGCAAGTCAAGGAGGATTAGGAAGGGTGTACAAGAGCAGAAGTAAATTGCTACTACAACTTCAATGGATTCTGTGGATGTTTGATAAAATGAACAGGCAATCTTTCCTGATATAAAAGTAAAATTATTTATCTTGTTATTTTAGGTCGTCTCTGGTATTTGCATCTGACTTTGTGCAAAGTCCACTCTTAGTTTTGCAATCTTTAAACCAATTGAGCTTCAGACAATACTTATTTGAATCTGTATTAAATCTTCCTGTAAATTGTCAACCTACACCTATTTGTTCAGTGACCATTCAAAGTTACAACAGTGCTGAACACCTCATGTTGATGACCAGTCCTTAAGAGTTCTGGCCATCCCAGCAATCACATGATTGCAATCTGGGTGCTTGACAACTGGTTCATGCATATAACCAGTTGCAGCCCCCTTATGATCATGTGTCACTATTTGTGGCCTTTCTTGTGGCTTCCCTAGAAAGTCTGTGTAAGGTGGCTGAGAAGCTCCAATGTCACTGGGATAACTCTTCCTCACCCACACACCTTCTCTTAGCCCCTCTTTGCACTCCCTTTATGACCACATCATTTAGCAGAAATTCCAATCCCAACTGTTATCACGAACAAAGGACTGTTTGCATTACTTTGTGGCTTAGCAGCATCATGTCATACAATATACAAATTAGATTATATTGCTAAGATTAGCTTGTCCTATAAGTAAATCATTCAACTTTGCCACACAATTTGATTTTTTACATAGCAATGGAACAGTCAGGCAATATGCATTCCAAGCAATTTAGATGTACCATACTTGTTAGAATAGGCAGGGCCCTAAAATTCAAATCTAAAACAAAATAGTTTACATGGTCTAATTTTAATTGCTGACACAACTTAAAAGACCAATTATTTTGAAAACATACTTATGTTTTGTAATATTTAAAAACATTTCTGATGGAATATCAATATGTTTCATGCATTGGAACTACAATTTTTATCTTCACATACATTTTCCATCTCACCTTGCCCTATGCCCAATGGACAATTTCTTAAAATTCCCAGTATTTTATTATATAACCATCTTTAAATGTTACATCTGAAGCAACCTGATCCTATAAACTAGTAGGAAACAACTCCCATTTTAAATTAAGAATTGCTTATTTTATATAGTATAAGCTATAGTATACTATAACTTATATAGTCATTTTACAAAGTGGGATACAGTAAAGGCAAGATACAGATTAAACAAGCTGTATTTAAGATTAAACAAAAATGCCCCTCTCCCCCATGTTTTTCATTCACTGTTACTCTGGTAAAATACTGATTTAGAAGATACTATGTTTTATACAGAACTGATGGTGTACATATTGTTTTCTAATCTTTGCAGTTTCCAAGATACAGCAACTTCAGAGTTGATCATTTAGGATCCATTATATTTCCTTGTTTGCATAATTTAAATTTTCTAGAACTATCATCCTCGTACACATAGGGATTATCTTCTTTGTAAGATTTCAAGGTATGTGGTCCTCTGTATTGTATTTCAGTTCATAAAAAACATTATAAATTAAATAGTCTTCATTTTAAAGAACTACACTGTCATCTGCCAATAAATCAATGTCACAGAACAAACTCCGATCAATTCGATTAGACTGTTCCATACGTTCAAAGAGAGATTTGTATGACTCTGGGTATAAACTACCAGCTGTAACCTCTTCTGGAATCTCCAAATCTCTCAGCAAGTTCCTTGCATTCTCGTAAGTCCATAAACTGAAACAAAAATCATTAAAAAATTAGGTATAATTTAATTGTTAACGATCAAGTGGGCTCATTATG